GATATTTCAAGTTTTATACGTATATTCGAGAGTAAACGCGTTCTCGAAAATATTTTTCGCGTTGAGAGAGCGAGATAGTAACAGATATATTTTGCTAATAAAAAATAAATAATTCTTTAGAATAATTTTCGATTGTTTCACCCTCAAATCCATACTTATTAAAGAAGCATATAAAATTAGTTAACAATTATATAAAAATATGGATATGAGGTAACAAAATCGTAATGATTAGTGTTACACTGATAGAATCGCGCGAGGATAGAATTTTTTAAAGTATTTTTAACTTTGCTTTGTTTTCTCAGTATCATATGCGAGAAAGTGTATGTGTGTGTGTGTGGGTGTGATTGTCGTTTTTGTAATAAAAGCGATGGATGGATCGTAAATTAGATTAATAACCGATAATACGAAAGAGTAAATCGCATTTTATTTTCCATTAAAAATTAAATGTGATATATTCATTCAGCGTTCTCCAATCTTTTTTTGAGAGTATTACAATTCCTTTCGTAATATTCAAATATACATACGACTTTCGTAAAGCAAATTGAAAAAAAGAAAGCAAAGAGAATTAAACTTTATTAAATAGAATAATACAAACTTCAATATTATGAGAAATCGTATATAAAAATCGATAAAAATTTTCTTCCAACGCCATTTTTTTCGTCAGATCGATGATCTTTCGATGATCCACATCAGGAGACAAAGTTGGACACGAGCGTTAGAAATTCGAAGGTTGAAAGAAACCTTGTTAAAGTTCCGCTCGATTATCGATTTTTCTTTTTTTTCAAGATGGAATTAAATCAAGAGAATCAATTAACCATTCGCGGTTGAAGGTAACAAAAATCGTCGTGGTGGGGAATTAACTACGATCATAATCATAATCATAACCTTAAGAAAATTAGAAACACGGATAAAGGATTGGACGGATGAAGAGAGAGAGAGAAAAAAAAATTGTCAAAATGGACAATGGAATTTTTTGACACGTTCTCGTATAAAAAAAGCGATGCATGCATATAGGTACACGCATCGATGACTCGATTCCAATCCAGGGAACGCGGAGGAAAAAAAAAAAAAAAAGTTTCTGCGAAACGAGCGGGAGAAAGAATCTTTTTGCCGTGTCTCTGTCCGATAAAAAAGACGAAAAAAACGAATTTTTCGCTTCGTAAACAAGCCTATGGGTTCGTCCGGTTTTGTTGTTTTTTCCCCTTTTTCTTTTCCTGTCGAACGTAATACATTTTTTTTTTTTTTTCGTTTCTTTTCTCTCTTTTCTTTTTTTTTTTCTTTTTCTTTTTTTTCTTTTTCGTCATACAGAGAGTCGAATTTAACGGGGTCAGAGGTGGTCGTCCACACAGAATCGAACGAGATCTCGTTAACGAACTTGAAAGTATCTTCGAGCAAAGCCGGAGACAGCCGAGAGAGAATTCGAAAATATGGTTTCGATTATTGCTTCGACTCGTCGAATCCAGTTGCGCAGAATTTCGCGGACCAGGCAAGCATTTACCAAACACTTGGCAGGACTGTTCTGGACAACGTTTTCACCGGCTATAATTCCTGCCTGGTGGCGTACGGGCAAAGCGCATCCGGGAAAACTTACACCATGATGGGGACCAAGGTAATAATAATCTCTTTCCATTGTTTCATCTTTCCATTAACTCAAATTACTTAAATTTTTATTAGATAACTTTCCAGGCTTTATGTTATTTTATGTCATTTCATCTTAAATTTCTCGATTTGTACCGTATCGTCCAGTAGATCGATGATAACCCCTCCC